TATATGTATATACACACGAGAAGTGCAATTATTTTAAAAGTTCGACGTGTGCCTGTTTATGAAAGTTACATGTTCACACAGAAGGGCGTACGTGTACACACGCGACTTTCAATTACGTTAAAAACGCCGCAGCAAAAGTCATTGAACAGCATAATAACAGCAGCCTTTTCAGCTGAAGCCACCAGAGTGAAGTTAATGGGAAAGGTCTACCTCTTGCCTAGTCGTGGCGCCATGCAAACCACACTGCCTAAGCTCTCTCACGCGTCTACGAATGTGTATCGCCGATACATTTCACCCGCGCTGCATGCTGCGGTACAAGCATGCCAAGTCATACACCGTACGCCCCGTGGCGACCGACCACGTCCATACCAGCTTCTAGACACACTGGACACGGTCCGCTGGGTATTTCCCGCTGCTGGTCACTCAATTCACAGGTCCAGCTAGTCACGTACGCGTACAGCAACTTGGCATCTATGTATCTGTGTTTATGAAGAGATGCCTGAAGGCTGCCGGCGGAGAAACAATACGAATGAAGCGGAGATTGCACGCCCGCTTCAGCGATATGACGAACTATATATATATATACATACGCCACTTGTACGTTCTCGATCAATCCGTCTCGTACGCGAACAAACCTTGAGAATTCCCTCCCTCCCACGACAAGTTAGCTAACACAAAGCACGGCAGAGAGAACAGGCGCAAATACAACAGCGGTCGGCTGAAATCTGCTACGAAAACAAACACCGACGAAGCGATTTATTCCTTTCGAATCAGCTGAAAGGCTCGGAAGCGTGTGGCATTGACCACGCAGCGCGACGAATGTGGACGATGGAAATGTGCCACGACGCCGGGAAATGTCCACAATGATTTTGCTACGTAATCATAACTTTGAACTTTAGCTTGGCATTGACCGGATTATCGATAATGCTTTCCTAATCGGCTGTCGTTAGGCATGACCGGATCACGTACGTACAAGTTCAACGATCCTAGAACTAACCTCATGCTCACCTCGTATCAACCTTGTACTATCCTGGTTAATAAACTCGTACTAACCTCGTAATATGCTTGTAGTAACCTCATACCAACCTCGTACTATTCTGGTAGTAACCTTATACTATTCTGGCACTAACCGTGCACTATTCCGATATTAGACTCGTCCTAACCTCGCACCACTGCCACGCGAATGACAGGACGTTTAAATGCCCAATTACGACAGAAATTGGTTACGAGTT